GAAAAATTTATGCCAAAAAAAATCCTTTTGTTCCATGGAGCTGAATCAGAAGTCCGAGAATTTTTTTTGTTAATTCATGAGAACTCATGTTCACATATATAAACATTAGAATTTACTTATTTGTTCTTGGATGTCACAAATACTTGCAGAGAGTACTTGAGTGAAAATTACACTATATGAGAAATGGAAAATACTCATCCCAAATGAGTCTCATTTTCTCTAGCAGACAAGCATAGCCCTAGAACCCACCTCTGACCCTCTTTCCCCTCCTAGAAAACACTGCTATTACTTCAGTTTCTCAACAACAGTTTGCTTCTAGCACAAGAAGGGTATTTCCAGTGACACCAGTAGACTTGAGCATGTGTCCAGCAGCTGCACTGGGCAGCACTGTGTACTCGGGAGTGTCCTGGATGTGGAACAACACAGCTGCAAAGACAGTGCCAAGGCTTTGATGGGGGAGTGATGCCTGGCGTGTCCTCGTGTGAGATGTGCCCCTGCTGCCAGGCCCACACCCTGCTCTGGTGCTTTCTCTAACTGGGCTGGTGCTTTGGTTTTGTGCCTGCTGTGGGACACCCATACACTGCATTCCATGGTGTGATCTCCATCCCAGTCCTCTTCAGAGAAGAGCGCTGGATAGCAATGTATGCAGAAACCCAAGCCCAAAGCCTTTACAATCTGTTCAGGTCTCAGTTGCATAAATTAGTCTTCCCTGTGCTATCTGAGGCTGTAAAAAGTCTTAAGCAGTATTTCATTGTCTGTATGTTTGTGTCTGTATAGATAATGATGGCCAGAAAAACAATTAAGGGAAGCATATGCTTTGTACTGGAATTTTATCTGTTGCATATTATGGCAAAATGGTGTCTTGGTGAACATACTGCTCTGGTGATGAACTTTCATTTCATTAAATGAAATGCACCATATGGTGCAAAATGCTGCCTCTCTACTTGTTTGTTTTGCATATACTTATATCCTCTTCTTTTTGACACTCTGTGATGGTGGGAAAGGTATTGTTGGTTAATATAAAATTTCTAATTTATAATACTAGATCTGCATTGTAGTGGATAAATGTTTACATCCATAAATAATTAAATGTACAATTTTTCTTAGGAATGAATTGATTATGTCTTAATATTTACATCTGTAACTTTGCATTTGCAAGGACAAACATGAATGCTAGGCTGAAGGTTGCCTGAAAATCTGGTCTTGCATATTCTATGAAAAATATTACTCACATTTCTCACAGGTGAATAAACTGCATGCATGGATGAATCTAGTTAATTCAATGGTTTAATAAACCTAGAATCCCAATGAGGTTATAACAAATCCCCCTGGTGTCTTGGAGTTATGAGAAAGATGTATAAAATTATATGCAAGCAAAAGAACTCTTTCTAAATCTGAGGAGTCTTTTGCACATTATTTTTTTTTCCTGTTCACTACATGAAATAACTTCTCACCTGTGGCTCTGTCATAATAAAGTATTAGATCAATTTTTTTGAGGGCAATATCTGGGGTCAATTTGCATCTGACTAAATTTTTTTTTCCCATTTGGATAGTTTGTTTTTGAAACAATTAGGTAGCATGAAGACAGATGCCTCTCTTAATTTCCCTGTGATGAAGATGTCTGGTATGGAGTGGAAATATCTGCAGTTCTCCTGTCAGGGAGCGGCACCTTGTCACAAGCTGCCCAAATTTCAGATGTTAAACACATGTGGATCCTGGATCAGAACCAATGCTCGAGGTACAAACACAGGAATAGCAAGATGATTTGGAGTGACTGATTTAGCAAAGCAGCTGAGACTAATGTAACTGAGTAAATCTATGATGAATGCCAGTTTTAGGGTCACTATACTCTGAATTACACAAATCTGGACAACTCAGCTATCTAAAGCCTGGTCAGCTCTTATATGAGAAACCTTCCAGGAAAGAAGTATCAGGCAGAACATGATAATTCCATAGTAGGCTTTTTTTGCTGTGTTTTGATACAGAAGCAAAATCCTAGCCTAGGGACTGGGTTGGCCTTTTTCAGTATCATGAATGTGTTGTTATTTTACAGGCATTTGCAGGGAGAGGACAGCCATTCCAAGAAACCTCAATATGTTGGAAGGGGTCTATATTTTCTGGTGAAAAATAAAACAGATGCTGCGACTGCATGTTATCGTGGAGAGATCCTACTGCATGCTCAGGAAAAGGAATCTGTTGTTTTTCACAGCTTCTGAAGTGGGGAACAAGTTCTGCCTCCATTTTACACTGAGTTAAGTAAAAAATTGCAGGTAAAGTAATGCTGAGTGCTGTAATCTCTCTCAAAGGTCCATAATTTTAGAAATATACTTGGAATACAGTAGCAGAAACACTTAAATTTTCATTTTGTAAAGTTCTGTGGAGTTTAGAGGAAAAAATAATGAAGCTGAAGAAAAGCACAATTGATAAGAAGACTTTCCACTGAATGTATTCCTGTATAAAATGGTAATTTTATTAACAGTTGAGGGAGGATGGAATGCACAAAATGGTATCTAAATATGTGGAAAGCCATATACTCTGTCCTGGTTTAAAAGATCCCAAGTACATGAAATTGAAACGTAGCTGAGTTGATTGTGATCTTCTATTCATTACTCTTCAGCACTGCTGGCAGAATCCCTTCTAACCAAATGAGCACAACATGCTTACTTAGCACTTTCACAAAGCCGTGAGTTTATAACCACAATTAAAGCACTTCTTTTGCAATAATTACACAATCTGAATTGGTCTGTGGTAATAGAAGAAAATTTTAATTCCCCATCTTAATATCAAAAATCCACTTAGTAGGTTCCATTTTTAGGTAGTCTCCAGTTCTGTATGCCACCTGTATTAACATTTTTATTCCTCATTGAGTCTGCTCAGGGTACTCTTCTGTTTATTTCATGAACACACTTCTAAAATATACCTGCAATCTCACGTAGGCATGGCTGGCAACCAGCAGAGCACTTCATTTCTCTCTGCCTTACCTTATTTAGCCCACAAATGGGTGCAAGTGTGAACAGCAAACCTGCTATGTGATGGAGGGTCAGGGTGACAGCCTGAAGAGGCAGCAGCTTGATGTCATCAGCATCTTCATAGCATTCTTTTAGAATCTTATTTCTTTTTAGAAATGAAGACCTGGTTTCCCTACACACTTCTGGAGGCTGGGTACTGTCCTGCAAAACTTGCTTCCTCAGCAGAAAGAGGTTCTCCAAGAAAGCAGTGCCCTAAATTCTGCTGTTCACCGTTTGAAAGAGGCAGCCAGGTAGAATTTATTTTCTCAGGAGTTTTTCTTTTGCTGATTAATTGTTTTCCACACTAGGCCATTATGTTGGTAAAATATTTATAACCATTATGATGAAAATTGCCAGGAAATGAATTCACACAGTCCTGCTACCTTTAGAATTTTTTTTCCCAGGACTTTGAAACACTGCTGTGGTTTTGGCTTGCCTCTCTAGTCTTGCTATTCTTTTCTGTCACACTCAGTAATTGGCCTAATAAAAGAGAGTAACAAGAATTTATTACACCTTGGGCGATACTTGAAACAAACTTTATTTGCTGGAGCAGCACTTTTTATCTACTCGCTGCTGTATATTTTGACAGTCTTTCTAAATATTAAATCTGACTTTATTAAAAGTTAAATCTTGGTGCTTTTTTGTGATTGCTGCTGTTTTTGCAGTTTCTTAAGCAGACTAGTACATATATAAACATATCTTTTTAATGAAGCTTTTGGAGAAATAATGTAAGCTGTAGATCTATCTGCTTATTGCCAGAATCCACAAAAAAGGTATGAATTAAAGACCAGCTTCTAGGAGATCTTGTAATTTAGTTTTGGAATAATGTATGTGATTAATTGAGAGAACAAAGATGAGAACTATTCAACTTTTCATACCTTTTTCAAGGTTCAGATTTGATGAAATGTTCCTTGAGCAAATGACACCCTTAACATTTAAAGTTCGCAAAGTAACAGCAGTAAAATTAAAGCAAGGCTAGATTGCTATGATGTAATTTCCCCTTTTAAATCTGGGTTTCTTCTTCCAGATACTGAATGCTAAAACCATAAACTTTTTTTGTTTGTTTGTTTTCTAAAAAGGCCTTAAGAAAGAGCAGTAAGTCATCCTGGAACTGTTTATGCAGGAATTTTTATTCTTTGAAATCTTCCAGTGTTAAAGCAACAAGAAAACATTTATAATGTCCTTTGGTGGAATCTTATTACACTTGTTATATATGTAAACTGATATTCTTTGATGCCAGCACGTTGCCCATACAGAGAAATCTCTGCACAATTAAATGAAAGGAAAAAGAAAAGGACTAAATAAAAAGTAATAGTTTTCTCTTACCTGATTAGAATTAAATACATTAATAAATTGTCTGGTAACACAAATAGGCAATAATACAAAAAATCTACATTGTACATTATTTCAAGAAAAATAACTTCATTTGAATACAAAAGGATAAATACACTTTTTGTCCTATAGCCACTCTTGTACAGTAGGTGAACACAGCATCTTACTGATGCAGTGCTGCTAAGGTATACAAGGATATGACTGGCTTGAGTTTTATTGAGGGGGCTGTTACACATGTGCATCACTAACATCAGACAAAGAAATCTTTCAACCAACAAGGGTTACAGAGCAACGTTCACTAAAGCACAGGTTGGAAAGGATTTGGGGACTGAAGCAGGCCAATATGGCAGCTTTTACAGATTTCCTTATAGCCACAATGCACTGACAGCAAAGAATGCCTTGGTTCGGTCAGTCCACACACCGGGCGGAGGTACAGGAGGGCACCAGAGAGGAGTAGCGAATGTTGTTGGAGTTCTCTTCCGTTCGGGGGCTGTCAAAGCCGTGTCAGTCCCGCAGCCGAGCGATCCCACAGACAGGCGGCTGCCGGCGCGCCTCGAGTCTGAGGGCAGCAGTCTCCACTCGCAGCCCTGTCCGTGGCTGAGTGATATGGCTTAGTTCAGTTCGGCCTTCCTAGTTTGAATGCGGTTATTTTTAGCAGCTTTTACAGATTTCCTTATAGCCACAATGCACTGACAGCAAAGAATGCCTTGGTTCGGTCAGTCCACACACCGGGCGGAGGTACAGGAGGGCACCAGAGAGGAGTAGCGAATGTTGTTGGAGTTCTCTTCCGTTCGGGGGCTGTCAAAGCCGTGTCAGTCCCGCAGCCGAGCGATCCCACAGACAGGCGGCTGCCGGCGCGCCTCGAGTCTGAGGGCAGCAGTCTCCACTCGCAGCCCTGTCCGTGGCTGAGTGATATGGCTTAGTTCAGTTCGGCCTTCCTAGTTTGTATGCGGTTATTTTTACTATTTTTTTTTTCTTTTCTTTTCCCCTTTAGGGATTCCAGTGGCGAACGCCGGGCTTTGTCCCGTTTCCGCGCGGCCGCGCACAGTCCGCGGCGAGGCGCGGGCCCGGGCGCCGCCCGCCCCGGGGCCGAGCTGCGGCCGCAGCCGCCCGGCTCCCGCTCGCAGCGCAGCTTCTCGCACAGGATGCCCGTGTAGGCCGGCGGGCACTGGCAGCGCACGTTGTTGATGCAGGTCCCGCCGTTCTGGCAGTGCAGGAGCTCGTTGTCACACACGTTGGCTGCAAGACAGCAGGGGAGGGGGAGAGAACAGGGAGCGATGTAAGTTCCATTTCAGCAGAAATGCACCAGAGGCTCCACCTCCCTCCTCTTCCTGAGACATATGATAAGGGACTCTTCTTCAAATACTCGGATTTTTTTTTCCCCTGTATTCTTGGAAAACCATCAAATTCGTTTAACACCACTGACTAAAGTATTGATTAATTTTATATGAAGGACTATTTAATAATGAAATAATAAGAATTTTAACACGTGCCTTGTGCTAACGTCTGCATCTTTATCACTGAACTGGAACTGTAGGTGGTGTGTGTTATGTGAAAGGGGCAATGCATCTAGAGCTTTTGGAAACCACGAACAGTGGTTAAAAATGCAATATGGCTTTGCTGAAGTAAAAAGAATTGCATGAGAGGACAAGGTTTTATAATCAAGAGCTGCATGTATTAATGATCTGAAAAAATGATGCAAAAAAGATAAGGCAAGCACAGGCAGGAGATTCAGCATGCTGTTGGATGGGGATTATATAGCATAGACATCTGGAAATAAAAGATAATGTTATTTCCATTATAGATCAAATATTTCTTCCTGATTAGATTGGCTACTTTGGTACATGGCATCTTAAAGCTATCTCAGATATTGTAGCCTGATAATAACTTCAGAAATCAGATTTGACAGGGGAGTTAAGAGACAATAATACAGGCAAAACTTTTAGACTTGCATAATGTTAGAGTATTTGAAAAGCTGACAGCTTTACTTTGTATTGCTTAATATCAATTCAAATATTTCATGGGTGAAAATGCAGAGGTATGAACAACACACTAATTAAACGTGTCAATCTGTGTTTTATTTCAGATGATACCACTAGTATGATATGTGTTGGATTACAGCTCTGCCTTTCACTGAGAGGCAATTTTAGTAAAGAACTTGCACCTATGATCTAGAAGCTAACTGGAAAAATTTTAACTTAGAGAATTAGGGAAAATATTTACTTGGGTAAGAAGCAGACTCAACATCATGTGATATTTATGTAAACCTTAGCCTGAAAATATTCTAAATAATTCAAAATAGAGAAAGTATTGTTAATTTTATCTTAACTATTACTGTTTATTACTACAAAGAAATACAGTTTTGCAAATATTTAATTACTTTTAAAAGCAGTCCAAATGTAATGAGAACTACAAGTGAAATAGTCCAGGTTCTTAAGTGGTTTAGTTCTACATAAATCTGCAATTTTGTGCACCACTAACCTCACTGGTAATCTTATCTGTCCTGGCTTGCTTTCAGAAAAATAATGTTTTCACCCTAAAAGGTCTCTCTAATAACTGCTTTCTGATGTTCTGCATCCAAGTGGGCCAAATAATGCAATATGCTGGAAACTTGTAGATACAGTTAAGAGGCACCAGTAAATCATTATTTTTCTTAGTAATTCCTTTAGCAATCAAGGGTTTTCTAGTAAGAGCTATGGATTTAATATTGTTGTCCAGTTTCTGAATTGCAATGGAAAAAATTGCACAGTAAGGTAAAAAAACACATTTTGTTGATGATTCTATGTCTGAATTTTAATGTTCTACACATACATTAGAAAAAATGTATAAGAAACAGTAAGTCCCCACCAAATAAATGTGATGAGATTAAAAACCCAGAAAATACCATGGTAACAGGCAGAAAAAATGAACTGTATTTTAATACAGTCAATATTTGCATTACATCTCTTATAACTGAGGCTATGTATTTTTTGAAGTTGACTTTATTATTTAGATTATATATAGTTAGTCATCTCTATATGCAAAATCAAAGTACTTTATCTGATGGTACAGCTACTGGATCTGCATGTTCTGGACTACTCATTGCTGGGATGCTTCCCACAGTTCAGGCAGTGAAAATTGTAAAATATCTGCCCCATCAATACAGACCCTTGTTTGCCTTGACAAACTCAGTGGGGGTCCACAGTTCATTAAATACCACTTTTTAAACAGCAGAGGAGATATTTTGCTTCACATTTTGCCTGGAATAATTTATCCAAATTTTCTCAAGTATTAAGTAAACCATATTTTTTAAAATGTATTATAAAACAAATATCTTTCCTATTTTAAACTTCATTTTGCAGACTACAGCCTGTTATTTGAAGAGGTCCTTAGCCCAGATCTGGTCTGTAGTTACAGGTGGCTGGAGATGAGGGGCTGAGGAGGTGTTTTGCTGGCTGTTCTGCCTGACACAAAATTCTGCCATCTACAAAACACTGCTATCTACAAAATTCTGGATACAATGTTACAGATGCTGATTTCTAAATCAGACCATTTCTTTCTCATTGGGAAGTTTTTGAAATGTGCTTAAAGAAGGGATGGATCAAAAGCTTCATCATTATTCTTATAGGAATGTTGTAAATGTCTGCCCACAGGAATGCAGGTATGTTTTATTGTTCTCAGCAAAATAGCTGAAAATTCTGGAATTGTTGATCTTGTATTAACACAGCTTTCCTAATTTTATGCTTGTATCTCTTTCTCTTGCACACAGACATGTATGCACATATATGTATCATGTTGATAGCAATTTTGAGCTGGAAGTTATAGAAAAAAGAATCTGGAAATATTATGAAATCCCATTATTTTTTGCCAATTTTGTTTTAATTTTCTTCTGACCAACTCTAATACCATTTTCACCTTTCTGAAAGTGTGGTCATGATTACTTTCAGAACTTTAATATTGACTAATTATTATCTGAATGGCATCAGGTACCAAACTCTGATAAAAGAATGAAACATGAGAAGTGACACAAGTAAAAGACCTAATTCTGAAGTCATCACATTGAAGACTATTAAGACCTGTGTGGCTGAACTAGCTGGGAGTTTGCTGGCAGATCTTCCTTAATTAGAAGCCAGGACACCAAACTGGTCACTTAAAAACCAGAGCAGGTATCTCATTTGTTTTGGAGAGCTTTGCAGGCCTTTTTGAGGGATGTTTCTGAGCACAGTCTCCAGATCTGTGCTACTGCATGAAGTGAAATATTTAAAGTAAACTAAAGTAAGTTGTTTTGAAGGTATTCTCATAATCCATGAATTTGCAATTTAACTATGGTCCAGCTATAGCATCCTTAAAACACTTCACAAATAAGACAGAAAAGAAGGCACAACGTGCCTTGCCATATGTCACAAACTATTCTTGATCTTTAATTACAATGTTAATGAATTTGGGAATGGAATAAAAAAGGAAAACAAGGGAAAAATACCTATCTTTGAGCTGGCTCAAGGGATAGTATTAGCATGTCATAGATGTGCTAATGTTTCACAGAATTTATATTGGGTATTAAATTAAATATTGTGAGTAACACAGCTGTTTGACAAATTACTACTTTCCTCTTAAATGTTCAAATCTGAATAATACATGAAAATTCCCGAGTCTCTCCAAAACTCAACTTTAATATCTTTGCAGCTTCTTGAAAGAAAAGGGTTAGACAGCTCTGGCTGATATTAGTTCTGAGGCAGCAGCAGAGAGAAGAAATGCAGGCGTTGCTCTCTTCAGTCTGGAGGGCACCTCAGGCACAGCTGTGTGCTCTTGGCTTAAGGACCTTCTGTTGCTGTGTCTGGGCAGCTGCAGAGCACATGCCCAGGGCTTTAGGTCTGCCTGCTGCCCAGACACAACAAGAAGAAGCTACAGAGCTTAAATACAGTTTCTTCTATACTCCTGTCTTTCCCAAAGGCCATCCAAAGGGGAAGAAAATAAATTTCTACCTTTCTTTGTGCTACCTTAATTTTTGTACAGCTTGCCTACAGTAGCATCTCGTTCAGGTGGGACAGGCTATTGACACATTTTTTGAGCTGGGATAGATGGTGTTCTCTTTCTGCATCAAAATCTGGGTTTATTATGAAATTTCCTTTGTGGGAACAACATAAAGATGATTAATGATAAAATTTTTTCTTTCTGTGACTTTATTAGAGATTCTTGCTTCCTTTCTTGAATTCTTAAGGCTTAAATTTCAAACAATGTTTCCTACATTCGCTTCTATCACTATTTTCCTTCAGTGTGCACCTTTTGTGGCATCATTTGTTACAGACGTCTCTCTCCCTCTCTCTCTCTTTTTAAAACCATCACTTCACTTTCCTCCTTTTTGTCTCCCAGGTCATGAGTATCACAGTCCCTGGACAGGCTGTTGGGTTGACAGCTCTGAATATATTACACAACATATTTGTCTTTTCTAAAGCACTGATGCAAGCTTTGCCCTGACTTCTGCTGCAGTGAATTTTCCATACTGTTTGTCAGTGGATTTTGTTACTGGTACTACTGAATTTTTGACCTTGGATTCCATGTATTGTTCATAATTTTGAGAGCATGCAGGTCTCATGGCTGAAGAAATTATTCTTGGCTGTGTTTTCTCTAATGCATTTGTTTCCTTGGCACTTATGATTTAGTAAAGAATATTACTTGAACTCATGAATGAGGAAGATTTCAGCACACATGCTAACAGAATATTCTGTCTGTGCATAAGTGAGTAAAAAGCCAGCATAGTGAAACCCATGTTTGCAGTAATGATGTTTATAGGTAGCTCCAACATATGCAGTGGCTGTCTATATATAGACACTGAACAGCACATTGAAATGCCATGAAAAAATTGGGAGGTTTCGTCTCACTGCATAAATAACTACAGTAAATCCAGGCCAAGCACAAGCGATTTCTTGTCAAATGCAGAATTAGTTCCTGTGAGTACTATGAGAAGCCTGTAACTAACATGCATTATTCCCTAAATCTGTGATCATTTAATCAATGAATGGTAAAAACAATCTTAAAATATAAAATAAATTGCAGTGAATGAAGCTTGTGTGAATGCCTAATAAGAATGTGAGCATCTGCACATACATATATAGCAAGAAAACATCTGCAGTTGTGACAGCATTAGCAGTATTTTCCCCACATTTTTTCAAATAGGCAGGAATGGAATTGGGGAATGCAAAAGACTTAGTCTCATTCGAATGCAAAGGTGTGAAATTGTTTCCAGTTGTACCCAGTTGCAT